AACATGGTCATCAAAACATGGGTCCATATCAACAACCCTTCCACTTGGCGATCTAACTCATTCACTTTCCAAAATTAGAAGCTAATCAGGATATGACTCGCTATAGTTCATCATCGTCATCATCATCTAGAGTAAAGAGGAACCTGATAACCTCCATTGATAAGTTGCCAAAGCTAGAATACAAAGTGTTCGATGAAATGTCTGACTTACAGACAACTTTCGGATCTTGAGAAATGTTGTGTTTCTTGGTTGACGTGGTGCCGTGCTGGGTTTGATGCCGGATGCCTTGATTCAACAGGCAATTTGAAGTGCATATCTATTCTGGTGCATGTCGACAAAAACAATCATTGGTGGGAAACACACACCAACTCCCATCCTTTGGATTTGTTTTTCTAAAAATGACTCCATTAAATGGAGAACATGTTGAATATTTTGTGGGTGTTTTTGGAAAAAAACTTGTAATTTAATACTTTATGTTTTTTGGGTATTAATTTTCAAATCTTGTACTTTTTTTGAATGATTTAAAAACATGATCTGATGTGTAAGTTGTAATGATTAGTATTCAATAAGAAAACCGGGTTGAGTGGCTATAAACAAAAAATTTGGGAATAGTTTAACTTATCACGGGATACTTCAATAATTAAAGCGGCGATTCGAAAAAACCAACAACTTATTTTCGACTAATTGGTATTTTGAGAATAAAAAAAAACCTAATGATATAACGTAAAAATACATATCTATACTATTTTATTAAGCAAATTTAACAAAAGTCTTAAAGTCTTAAAATTCTAAATGACCAAAATACTTTTTATACTCACTTTTTCAATTTTTCATTTTTTTCATTTTTTCACCCCCTCCTCTCCTCACATACACTCACCCCCTCACATGCATCCACCCTCTCACAACCTATTTTTTTTTAAATCTTAATTTTAAATTTACACTTTATATCCCTATAATTAATTAATTAATTAATTAATTTACTTTACGTCATTTACTTTTAAATGTTTCATTTTAAACATTTATCAAATTAGCATACATAATTGTATATCAATTAAAACATGTTTAAAAAATACATTTTTATTTTAACAAGTTACACCATTATAATCGTCTCGTTAATACCTTCGAAATGAGTCCAATATTGAATAGTTTTTTACTTA